TTTGAGACAGAGTCTTACTGTGTATTCCAGGCCGACCTTGAACTTGCCGTGTAGCCCAGGCTGGCCTCAAACTCTGGGAGCCTCCTGCCTCAGCTTCCTATGTACTGGGATAATAGGCACGGACCACCACACCTGGCTGATTCTTAGGGTTCTGAAAAGGAATAAATAAATAAGCAGATAAACCGCTTAAGTGCTGTTAGGAGACAGACTAAATGCTGGTACTGAATCATTAGCGTCACTAAGCAATTCCTTACGTACTTCGTTTCACTGGAAAGCTGCCTTTACCCAGAGGCCCGTATGTCAGGCAGCTGAACAGGAGCCGTGAAAATGTGTGGGGTTTGCACAGCGCTTCGTGTGATTTCCGCAGCTCACGCCGACGCGGGCCTTGCCACGCTGTGGACTAGTCTTTAGAACTGGGGGATAAGAGCCAGCCGAGAGCTTGGGGATGTGGCCACAGAGAGGGGCCGGCCCAGGTCCCCACCCGGTGCGGGCGGCCTGTGTGCCGGGGTCCAGGACGTCCGTCTCGGCACTGTCCAGTTCTCCTGGCCTCGCCCGCTGTCTCTTCCCCTTCCTCCCCTCCGGAAGCACAAAGCGTGAAACCTGACAAGTCCTGGGTCCCCTGACCACAGGGGAGACCCCGGGCTTCTAGGTCCCCTGGGGAGCAGCATGGGCGGGGACCGGCAGAGTGGATCCTGGAATCCTCTTTTGTTTGATGCGAGGGATCAAACCCAGGCCCTGCGCGGGCTAAGCACGTACCCTGCCACTCAGCGACACTCTCATTTTTAAATTTGAAATTTTTCTTCCAGCGAAACACTGTTGCTCCTAGGATTCAGACAGTACGGTGTTGGGATCAGCACCACCAGGATGATAGGTCTGGAATCCCCTTTGTGTAATCTCCCAGTAACACCGGCGCGAGTTGTCCCGTTGAAAGGGACACAGAGATAAGTGAGCAGCACGGTGGTACAAATCCGGGCTGACTCAACAGGCCAGGGAGGGCGCGGGTTGCAGGGCCCAGTCCTGGAGACAGAGTCTTCAGAATGGAGCCTGACCACTGGCTGAAAAGCAACCGGGCACCGAGAATCCCAAGCAGCCCGAGCAAAGACGTTTCGAAGCAGGCTTACAGCTTCGGGGCAGGGGCTTCCCCTGACAATCCAAGTGGTGAAAACTAAGCTAAGTTAACTTCTACCTGCTTTGCTCCTCACAGGAAAATTAAAAGCTATGCACAAAACACAGCTATTTTTCTTCAGTTCTTTTTTTTTCTTTTGGTGGCACTGGGCCTTGAGCTCAAGCCCTTTGCACCGAGTTACATCCTCAGTGTTTTTTAACTTATTTATTTGTTTGTTTGTTTATTTACTTTTGAGACAGAATATCTCTAAATCACTTTGGCTGGGCTCAAACTTGCAACCTTCCTGCCTCAGCCTCTCAGAGAGCTAGGATTATAGGCCTGTGCCACCACTCCTGCTATAGATGTTTTTCAAGGGAGAAGAGTAAAGGAAAAGAATAATGCACATATTTCTTTCTAGCTAAGATTACTTTTAGCCAGGCATGGCAGCACATGCCTAAAATCTCAGCACTTGGGAGACTGAGGCAGGAGGATTGCCATGAGTTTGAGGCCAGCGTGGACTACACAGTGAGACCCTGTCTCAAAAAACTAAAAAACAGATTGCTTTTTCCCCCTAATTTCATATTTATGGCTGAGGTTAAAAGCTCAGGTGCTGGAGCCATATTTTCTCCTAAAGAAACAACAGACCTTAAGCTTATCTAATCAATGGAAAGTTTTACTTGTCCGACCTGTTCTGCTCCTGACAGCTGGGTAACCACATAATCACTCCCTGCCTCAATTTGCTCATCTATAAAATGGAGGTAGCGGTAGTTCTACCTGCTGGGCTATGAGTATTGGAAAGCTGCACAGCGTCAGTACAACGTGAATACCACTGCCAGGCACACGGCGATGAGGGCGCAGGGATGGCAGGGCTCCCTTCTGCCCTCAGACTAGGTCCTGCCGGGACGGAAAGCCGGGTCTGTAACTGTGATACAAAACAAAAACCAAGAGTTACACAGAGGTGTTTGTCAGAGGAAAGAGAATTTTTTTTTCTGTCTGGGGGGCTAGAAAAGGTCAGCTGAAAACACTGTCTTTTGAGAAGTAGGGGTAGCCAGGCATGGTGGTGCATGTACCCTGGGGGAGGCTGAGGCAGGAAGATGGCAGTGACTTTGAAACCAGCCTGGACAACAAAGTGAGTTGAAGGCCAGCCTGAACTGCATAGCGAGACCCTGTCTCAAAAACAACAAAAAAGGGAGTCTGACTGCCACCATCCTAGACTGACCAGGGGCTGTGTTAAGCCTCTTCCGGTCCGCTGTGCTGTCACACCTGTTACAATGTGTAATCGTGGGTTAGTACGGCCCAGGGAGCACAGCTACACCCCGTGACTCCCGCCGCGCTCTGCAGCCCACTCCTGGCAGGCACCCACCACGCTCTGCGCCTCTCAGGCCTTGGCTCTGGCAGACAGCCGCAGCTCCTTGCTCTGAACGTTCCCCCTTGGGGCCCCATTTTGACCCTTTCTTCCACAACGTCCCGCCACGCTCACGGCCCTGTAACAGACCTCAGAGCCCGTACCACAGCCCCGGCTCTGGGCCCAGTGCCACAGTGGTCCCTCTCGGGTTTGCTCTCAAATAAACCTGCCCTGGACGGGGGATGTAGCTCAGCAGCACAAGCACCTGCCTGGCAAGCACAAGGTCCTGAGTTCAATTCCAGGCACCAAAAGCAACAACGACAAAAAAAACCTGCCCTGTTGAGCTTGTACCTGTTTTCCTCCCTCTGTGCTGACACCGGCTAAGGCCCTTGCTGAAATTACATGCCTGTAATCCCGGGTACTCAGGAGGCTGAGACAAGAGGATCACAAGTTCAAGGCCAGCTTGGGCAACTTAGTGGAGCCCTGTCTCAAAACAAAATAGAAACAGCTGGGGATGTAGCATAGTGGTAGAGCACCCCTGGGTTTAGTCCTCAGTACCAGAGGGGATTTAAAAAGTGGGAATTAAGGAACCAAAGTTCAGCAAGAGAAAAGGACAGCACAAGATGCGGAAAAAAACCCTCTGGGCTGCTACAAAAGCCGGAGAGCAGTGACGGCCAACTTTTACAGAGGAGCACCCAAACTTAAACCTGAATACCGAAAACAACGCCTACATTAGCATCTTTTGTCCTAAAAACAAACAACATGCACGCCATAGGTTTGCCACCAGTGCTGTATAACGCATCCGTATCCATAGACGGAGATGAAACATCAGACCTTGTGTTTAAAAAGCCCGGAGCATGTCAAATGGACACAGCGTTAAAACCTAGACAATAAACTTTTATGTGGGAAGACACATATAAGATCAAGACTATGACATTTCAGATTCTTTTCTTTTTCTTTGAGATGGGGTCTGGACCTGCCGAGCGTGGGCTGGCCTGCCTGGCTCCCGGGAGTACCTGGGATTACAGGCGTGGGCCACCACACCTGGTCTAGAAATAGTTTTAGTGGAAGTAAGGCAAATTTTAAGGATTAAGATACATTTATGCAAGATTTAAAAAGTTGACCATGTGCTCTAAAACAAACTAAACTGGACAATGTGTTTATCTTCTCAGAATATGCAATATTCACATTCCTAAAGGGCATTTTATATATATATATGTACAAATTTTAATAGAATCCCCAAGAAATGGTTAAACTCATCTATATCCTGCCAGTCGAGGATTCTGCTGTATCAGACAGTGGAAACAGTCATGAAAAATAAAAATGACTCAAGCATTTTTTTTTTTTTGTCTTTTTGAGACAGGGTCTGGCTGTGCAGTTCAGGCTGGCCTTGAGCTCACTTTGTAGCCCAGGCTGGTCTCGAACTCACAATGATCCTCCTG